AAAAAGCGTGGGCTTTTGTTTTTAAGGTACTTAATTAATCCACAATTAATTAATTAATTTGGAAGTTTGGAAATACACACTTATTCGGCTGCAGCGGGCAGTCGTGGGCGTGCAAAGCCGAAATTAATTGGTAATCGGAGAGCTTTTGGCTGCGGAAATTCTATAATTGAAAATAACTAGATTTCTCTGTACATTTAAAATCTTGAACGGCGAGAAATGAGGATTTGTATAAAAGTTTTTATTTGAAAATCCGTAAAGTTATACATTTACAGTGTTTGCAGATTTCATTTTTATCTTTACGTCTTATATCTTTTTGTTACTTACATTTTTCCTAGAATCTTTTTTTTAATATAAACATATTTCACATAGAACTTTTTATAAACATTGATATGTCAATTTTGACAGGAGTCTGGTAAAGGTGACAGGAGGCAGGAAAAGTAGTCTGGTAAAGTGTTACTGTCACTGGCATGGAAACTAACTAACTTCCCGACATATATAAACATGAAAATGAAGGTTTCATGGCGATTTCGGGAAAAGGAATTTCAGGTAAAACAAGATTTATTCAAGCTCTACACATTTATTCCCACCGTTTGTTTCTCTTATAAAATACTCACGAACAACTCATCAGTATCCAAAATTTCCAGGCAGTTTCTGTTGTGGCATGGGAAGCAGGGCAAATTATAGAAATCTTGCAACACTTATGCTAGAGCTCTAGAGCTTAAAATTGATTGCGTTACGTTATTGGCTTTATGATTACACAACAATGTTCCGTAGAGGTACACCTACTACATTTGCAGTCGTAGAATCACCTTTTATTATACGCCATGCTTTTTTCTAAAATTTCAGATGTATCAGAAAACCTTTCCAAGTGAAAAGAGAAAGTCTTTATGTATTAATTCATTCAGTGGCATGTTATGGTATTAAGTACATTATTTATTATCTTTACGATAACATTAATGGCAATTCGCTAGATGGTGGTCATATATCAACATACTAGAAAAAAACATTTTCATAATGTGTTAATTATATGATAAATAGATAGAATACCATCGCGTGTATAATTAGATAAGGTTAATTTATGACTTATGCTGTTCATCCATCTGCTAATTTCAGACTCGGGCTTTTAGTGTATGTACCTAAATCACCTTATTTGTCAACTATCAAGCCAACAATGTTATTCCGCAGAAATATAGTAACGGTTATGGAAATTGGCTCTTGTCTTATTTATGATAATCGTGTCTCGTTAATATTTATATATGCATAAGAGGTAAAATCTCGTTTAATCTTTTCTTTGGGAAATTCAGCTTTTGAAATATTCTATTTGGAACTGGGAATGCAAGCAAGCTATACGAAAGCAAATTTTTTGTATGGCGGAGGAACGAATTAAGCTTTCTTTAAGTTAGTTGAGTTTGATTTCAAACAAACAAGCTAAAAAACTTCAATACCATCTCCAAATTGTGTCTGACACTACGACAGAATTACATCTGCTGAAAGATGAAGCCGAGGACGAAACATATTAAGCTTTTAAATTATAATAAAAACGTGTTGTCAAAATATTATTGAAATTTCTGACAATCCTACTAAATCTGCATGGAAATTGATTAATACTTACGTATTTTTAAAAAATGACCCGCCTAGTAAGGAAAATATATCTCTTGAAACTCTTACCTCCTCTATTATAAATGCTGCCGAGGCCAGCATTCCAAAATCAAAACCTGGCAAAATAAGAAAGATAGTTCCATGGTGGTCAACTGAAATTAAAGAAAAAATCTCATTAAAGAAAAAATCTTTGAACAAACTTCGGCGGAATCCCACAATGGATAATCTTATAGAATTCAAAAAACAAAGGTCACAGTGTCGCCGGGCAATACTGGAAGCCCAGAGAAATTCATGGCAACAGTACGTATCCACCATGACCCCGGAGACTACCAATAGTGAAGTGTGGAAGAAAGTGGGAGCTATATCTGGCAAAATCAGTCCCAATTACCCGACGTTTTTGCGAAACACTGAGGAAAAAGTTATAAATAATCTGCAAGATATAACTAACACTATTGCTGATCAATTCTATAAGGTTAGTAGCTCCTCTAACTATCCTCCCACATTTTTGGGCACTAAACCTGAAAAAGTATATACATATCAACTTTAACACAGAAGAAAATCTAAATTATAACTTACCTTTTACTCTGGAAGAATTAGAGACAGCAATCTTCAGTACCAAATCCTGCTCGCCAGGCCAAGATGGTATCCATAATCAGATGCTACGCCATTGTAGCGCTGAAATGAAAGAAATCATTTTAAAATTCTTCAATGTGTGTTGGAGTAAATCTACTTACCCTCCAGAATGGAAACGAGCCATTGTCGTCCCTATACCTAAGCGGTAAGCCAGGTAAAGACCCGTTGTTAGCACAACACTACCGTCCAATAAGTTTGACCTCGTGTCTGGGTAAATTATTGGAAAAAATGGTGAATAAGAGGTTGCAAACGTTCATGGAAAGCAACAACATATACGTCTCATATCAAGCTGGATTTCGAAAGGGGCGATCAACGACTGACCATCTCGTCAGGTTATGTGACCGAATTCTCAGGACGTTTGACAATAGGGAACACCTAATTGGAGTCTTTTTTGACATCAAAGGTGCATTTGATATGACGGGATATTGAAAAACATGTTCAAGTGTAACCTACGTGGGCGCCTACCAAAATTTGTACAGTCATTTTTAGAAGACAGAACATTTGTCGTAAGAGTCGGTGACGCCTATTCAAAAGAGCATGTTTTGGAAAATGGAGTGCCACAAGGATCAACACTAAGCTGTTCCCTGTTTGGCATTGCCATAAATGAAATAGCTTTAGGCGTTGATGAGGAAGTAGATAAATGTCTATACGTCGATGACCTGATGATTTGCTACTCAGGAAAAACAGTCGGGGTCATAACCCGCAAACTACAAGGCGCAATAAACAAAATCTGGGAAAACGCCAACAATGTTGGGTTTGTGCTGTCAGAAGAGAAGACAAAGGACTTACATTTTTGTCGACTTCGCAAGCCACACTATGACCCAGTCTTATTCATGAATGGCCGTGTAGTATGTGTACCCCAAGAGGTCAAGTTTCTGGGGTTAACATTTGACAGAGAATTAAGATGGTGTAAACATATACAGAACATTGTAACTGCAAGCAGAAAATCCCTGAATGTAATCAGAGTTTTAGCCCATCAAAAATGGGGAGCACACGCCAAAACACTACTTGACATCTACAAGACACTGATCTTATCTAAATTTGATTATGGGTGTTCTGTCTATTTTACATGTAACAATAAATCTTTAATTGGGAAACTTGAAAAAATTCAGAATCTTGCTATAAGGTACTCCCTTGGGGCATACCCTACAAGTCCAAGCAAATATCCTTCCTCTAGCTCTTCGCCAAAAACAGATATTAGTAAACTACTATCTAAAGGTATTGCCAAATGACAATCACCCGAATAACCACCTACTTACAGAAGACACTACAAGTACGCGTTTGAATAGATGCAGAGCAATGGGCATAAGAGCTAGAGAGGAACTTAGATATTTACATCTAGAAGACACTAATTTTGAAAATATGTCCGTTAAAGCGAGAAGTGCACTTGTAAAATCTCAAATATATGAGCGTTGGAATGAACAGTGGTCGGCATCGAATGTGTTCTTAAAGAGAGTCAAACCCAATTTGGGATCACTCTTTCTTGTAGGTGCGAGTCGTTTTGCCTCGACAAAATCATATAGGCTTCGGATTGGACATACTGCCTTAACACATAGCTACCTATTGACCGGTGAAGGCCGACCTCAGTGCTTATATTGTGGAGTAGACCTAACACTGGATCATATGCTCTGTGATTGTCCGGAGTACCGAAATGCGCGCAACCTCCACCAAATCAGTGCTATATGGCAAGAAAATTTCAACAACATAGGCAAGTGTCTAAATGTACTGCGATTCATGCATACTATCAATGTGATACATAGACTGTGATATATTGTAAAGAATGTTTGAATGTAAAATGTCTGTGATATGTCCTATATAACGGGCGATCAAGAATGAGTGACTGTCGAGTCGCCTTTGAAAGTTCAAGTTAAGTAGGATTTCCCATGTAAACAAAAATTCCAAAAGTGACTAGACGGTCACTCATTTTTGATCGCTATGTATAAGTTACTGTACTGTGCATGTGATATTTATAAACTGTGATATATAAACCGTTAGTCAGAAAACAGGCAAATGGCCTTTGAAGCCGAAGCCTTAGGTGGGGTTTTAGTGGGTATGCCTGGGTAACGGGAGAGCCCCACACTACTCCGAACTTCCTCATTATGGAGTGTGCATAAGGTGCATTTTCCCCACCTACAAAAAAAAAAAAAATGAAGATTCAAAACGCCAAACGCGGTGTGGTATTGTTAATTAATGTTGTAGATTGTGGATTAGTCTCAGATATCTACCGATACTCTTTTGAATGCGTTGACAACCTTACCAATTCTTTCCATAAGGAACTTATGGTCATTGTTTCTTTTTACAACTCGGATCTAGGTTAACTAATCGCACGGATTAAAATCAAGTAACGATTAGTATCTGTCTGTAGGTCATTCTTCTTGTCAAGTTATGGTCTAGTCCTATCTTTTTTATAATTTATAACACTATTACCTACGAACTCATCAATTTAATTAATTTGTGTTGTTTATTGTGTAGGTGTTGGATTTTTATGTCTTATCTATAAGTGTAATGTCTGGTCTACTATTGTGAATAGTTTTATCTGTGAGTAGTGTCCAATATAATTTATGTGTGTTGTTCTCAAGTATTGTCTGTGGAGTGTATTTGTGTACATAAGGGAGGTATAATTGCAATGAGGTAAAAAAATCACTTTTTTCACGGCAATTGTCTGCAGGTCTGTCTGTCTGTACTCTCATTTCCGGCTAAACGGCTGCCCCGAATGGAACCAAATTTGGTACGGATATTCCTAAACATAAAAGGGAAAGCTGAGCTTTTGAACAAAATTGCGCATGCGCAAGTGTGTAAGTAACAAAAAACGGTCAATTGTTGAGGTTTTTCCCTATAATTATGGGTCAACTATTGCATCGTGAGCATGGTACCTGTGCTAGACACAGAAAATTTTGTGTTGCAGCATTAGTGACTCAGTTGTAGAGGAAATTCGAAAAGCAGGTAGATTTAGACCATTATCATATTTTGCCCGATTTTTATGAACACTGACATTGTCTTTAATAAAAAACTAGAAATACTATGTGTGACATCCTGCATCAACAATCTAGCAACATAAATGTAGAAATGTTAAGTCATACAAAATTTAAAAAAATCTGAATCGGTTGAGACCCTAGCCTCCCGCCGGGCAATTGACGATTAGACGATCGACGACATTACTAGAAATACCAGCCCCTATGAAAGCGATTAGCATAACTCAGGTGAAGTGTAGAAATCAAATTAAAAACTATCAAATTAAAAAGTGTTAGGTATAGGTTATTATGCAACCAATCTTCAACATATGTTCTGAAATGACATCTCTTAACACACAAGTTTTCAAAGGATTTAAAATGTGCACATTGTCATTATACAACGGACTACTGTACCCGGCACGTAAGAAGGCGAAAGATCACGTACTCCCACTATTCATATTTTATTGATTGCACCTATTAGTGCATCACAGAGCCAGTTGGATCCTCCTGCAGACTCTAATTAGTCTTCTGCGCATAGAATAGCATACCAGTACAAAGCAAAATTAATACAATACTTTCATATATTTAAAATGTGCAGAGTGTGATTTTTCATGATCATGTCCTGAAACGGGATCTCTTAATTCACAAAACCTCAAAGGATTTAAAATGTGCACACTACTGTAATAGCATTATATGGAAATGTTAGGTAATGTCACTGTAATTAGGTATATACGAGGTTCGCCGGGATAGGCGATAAAACGTTCGTCGGGTCTGCTATTATGTAAAATAATATGCGTGTCTAAACCGTTCATCCAATTGCGAGAAGCTTTAGGGAATGGTTGGACTTATGCCCGCGAAAGTTATTGAGCTAGTAAAAAACTTTCCGAAATTCCCACGGAAACGGGATCAGAAAAAAACATGATTTTATGTATTACAGTGTTTACGTGTTACCTAATACAGAATTAAATCAGCTCGTAAATCAATTGTTTTGGTTAGCGACCAAAAAAGAGGAGAGTAATAAATTTGCCTCGTTGAGATGCTAAATTCCGAAATGATCTCGAATATCACCCTCTTCCGTGATCATATGATGATACATTCATAGCAAATTCTTGCATTTCGTCAAGTGTTTCTTCTTAAATGCTCTGTAGAGAACCAGCACTCTCATTTCCAGAAAAAATGCAACAACATTTTTAAAGGCAATGGCAAGTCTATGCCAGTTAGATTTATTGCACAAGCATTGCAATCCTATCGACCGACCTATTGCACACAGTGATTACCCCCTGTATGTCGACTTTATGGAACCATGTATCTAAAATTATTCACTTGTTCCGTACCGTTCACCAAGTGATGATTTTAACATTTTTTATGTAAAATAAATGGTTTACTTCAGCGTGGGTTTAAGGCTTCTAATAAATACATACTGGTTTGCAACTTGAACGTGCACTATTGTTCTAAAAATAGTCGTTGGCAGGATCTAATTAACTTTTCGTACTTCCGAGACTAAAGTGACAACTTCACTCCGTTATGACAAGTACTGAAGTGTCACTTTTTGTCCCGCCGGGATTAAATTTGGACGAAAATCCCGGAAGGATGAAATTACTAACAAGGCAATTTCAGTAGGTTGTTCCACATTTTGTATGCGGCACTACTTCTTAAACGCATCGTACTGCTGCTCATATAGTTTTTTGGATTTCTGTGGTATCAATTCTTTACCTACATTGGCCGCTTTTTATCAATATCAAATACACCTTTGTCACCCACCACCAAAATTATGACACTAGCAATGACAGTTTCCAAATTATTTTTGTTACCATAGCATAGGGATTGTCGTACCAACGCAACGTTCCTATGGTAACTTGTTAAACAGCGATTTTTGGAAAGAACGCGTTCTCTAACTCCATACATATTTAAGTGTTTCAGTTTCGGAAGTACGAAAAATATCGTATATACCTTGCGACTGAAGTAGTGGTCTTAATCCCTCAGGTAAATTATGGCCCTCCCTTCGGTCGGGCCATAAACTTTACCTTCGGGATTAAAAGTACTACTTCAGTCCCGCGGTATATAATATACTATATTGTTACCCTACAATTTGAGACCAATGGTTAGAAAATTTTGAATTTTAGTCACATTTTTTTGAAGCATCTACTTATTTTATACCACTTTCGTAGATTATTTATTAATAATTAATCTGGTACCTGTCCTGGTCCATTAAAAAGTCGATAGTTTATCCAATTCATACGAAAGTCTCAACACACGATGGCAACATACAGTGAGCGACTAAAAAATGGAACAAATTTATTTAAAAATCAGGTGTTAGGTTTAAAAAAAATGCTCACATACGTCTATCATAATCTTTTCTTGTGCATTTTTTGCTAAATATTCAGGGTGCATTAAAAAGTAGATTGTGAGATACCAAAGTTGTTTAAATGGAACAGTACTTTTTTTAATCCATTTTTGTGTCCATAGTATACATACTACTTTTTTCTACATTGGTACGAAGCAAAATTGAATATGGCGTTCTAGTATGAAATCCAGCATTTAAAAAACACGGAGAATACCTAGAACGTAGGTATACAACGTCGTCTCTTAAAATAGCTAGCCTTACGATGTGATGGACACTACCCTACAAGAGGCTGCTCCCAAATTCTACTGCTAGAAAGATTCAATCTTTTACCCTTAAGTAGCAGACGTAAAAAAATAAGTGCCTCGTTCTTGTATAAATTATTATATGGAATGAAATTGATTGTGTCACATTTATTTAAATGGAGTATTTTTTGAATAAATTTGAATTTTACAAATGGAATGGATTCTGGATTCTACCTTGAAAGCCTCTGAAATTGAAATATTAATGGGATTAAGTGGTAATCCAAGTCTCTAACAGAAATCTGAATTAATGAAGTTAGACTGGCTCCCTGGATCTAAAAGTGCCCTGCAATCTTGACGATTTCCCTTTGTATCAATTACCTCCAACAAGACTGTTGATAAAATACCTGTTTTGAACTTAAATTGAAAGAAACCAAAGACTATTCAGCTTGTGTATTAGGATTGACCTCTGATTGAGTAACATGTAGAAGGGAATTATGCTTGACAGTGCATTTTTTGTAATGACCGAAATTACAATCATTCAACTGATGGCCCACGATTTAAACAATTTACACATAAATTGGATCTGTTGACCAAATCAATTCTTTCAGGGACGGGCAACTTTAAGAATTTTGTGCAAGTGTAAATTTTATGATTTGGAGCATTGCACGCTGAACATAAACGGTTTGAAGTATGAAAGCTTTTTTGAGTATAGGGATTAAATTTTTGTTTAGAAACTGTTTGTGTTTTGGACGATTGTGCCTTTACTGTTTGGGCTGAATTTGCCTCTGTATTCTTCTCTTCCATTTTCTTAAGCATTTTTGCCTTTTGTTTTAAACATGAAAGTAAATTCTCTAAATTGGGTGAATCATTTAGAAATTCTTTAGATTCTCACTCTCTGATTGTCACTGGATCAAGTTTTGTAAATATTAAATATGTAATTAAAGTAGCCCAAGATTCTGTGGGTTGTCCTAATGCTTTAAAGACCTTAATAATTCCCACGCTATTGAGAAATTGTCATTTGTAACTTGAATATTGGCTATACTTTCAAAAGCTTCACCCTGTAAGGCTCTTTTCAAATAATGAAAACGTTGAACATTAGTAATACGACTATTATTATTAATTAAGCTTTCAAATGAATCCCTAAATTGTAACCAGTCACTTGACTCACCTGAAAATGTTGGTAAATTTATTGTAGGCAACTTTACTTCCGAGTACTGATTGCAGTTTTGATTATTATTTTAGTTAGAACCTGAGCTTGCCTCATTTTCTGCATAATTGCCTTGTAATAAACCTTGCGCACGTGATATTGTTGAATGATACTCGTTTTCAAATTGTTCACGGGCATTATATTCACTTTCCAAATCTTCATCCTTGATTAGACATTCAATTTCTAATTGTACAGCAAGAAATTCAATTAATTTCTGTCCCGTAAATCATATATGACTGAGAACTGCATTTGTCAATGTAAGTTTGAAAATTAGTTAAACGAGCTTTTAAACTACTACGTTTAACAAGAAGCTTTCGCAATTCTTGCGATGATTCCATAATTAGCATGCAAATAAGTAATACTTTACAGATTAGCTGCTGTCCGAATGGAAGTTGAATTTGAATCACTTGTGGAACTCTCTAAGCAGCTGAAATGCTCTTTTAGTCTCGGCACTGAATGTTGTTGTCTAGAAATGGGTGACTAGAACTGTTCTTGAAGATGTAACGGCTTGCTGGAGAAATGTCTTCCCGGCACTGGATGTTTGCTTTTCAATATCCAATTAATGCAATCTTCTGTAATTATGGATTATTGAGTAATAAATCCGACATTCACGAAAGTAGCCATATAGGGCCGATCCTAACTCAACTCCATGTAAAATCCCATAAGGCGATTTTCTAGTGTCAATGTCATTTGAAGGTGACTAAATAGAGAGGTTAATAACCTAACGATAGCCATATAGGGCCGATCCTAACTCAACTCCATGTAAAATCCCATAAGGCGATTTTCTAGTGTCAATGTCATTTGAAGGTGACTAAATAGAGAGGTTAATACCTAACGATAGCCATATAGGGCCGATCCTAACTCAACTCCATGTAAAATCCCATAAGGTGATTTTCTAGTGTCGTCAAGGTCATATACCTCTCCCCCTGGCGGCGACTTTAAAACTAGAGCTCTCAAAGGTTAACGATCTTAATTGCGCCTTGTTGTAAACTAAACAAAGGTCAACGATTTACCTCGAGGGAGGGGATGCCTTACGAGGGCGTGGTTAACT